CATCCAATGACCAATAAAGACCAAACTTGGCATACAGAAGCGCCATTACCCACTTTCTCAAATAACCCCGGGCAGCGCCGGGTCCCCAAGCTAGTAATAAATAAAATAACAAAACTATAAGGAATGTGCATCCTAGACACGTTAAAAAAAAACCTAAGGCAATAAAATGCACTACTTCTCAAAATCCTTATAGTCATTTTTTTCCCTGGGCTTCCAGGAAATGAGACTGTTAACAGCAACCAGTCTTACCTTTCTCTATGTGTCTTTTCTTGTATGAGTGCAGGTGTGCATAGAATCAAAGTGAGAGCATTCCCACATGGCAAAAGCCAGTTATTTTTAAAGGAAGATCATTCCCAGCTGCAAAAACTACTTCTATAAGAAAAGAGGTTTTCTCATGGGTAGAAAATCTTGCAGCTGTGTGTGTCAGTAGGACAAAAAGTGCGCTTAAAAAAAACTAGCTAAGATTAACAGAATTTGCTTTCTAAAGAGATCCTCATATAAAAATCCTAAGGGTGCCTCTACACCAAGCATGGGCAAACTTCGGCCCTCCAGGTGTTTTGGACTTCAACTCCCACAATTCCTCACAGCCTACCGGTGGTTAGGAATTGTGGGAGTTAAAGTCCAAAACACCTGGAGGGCCAAAGTTTGCCCATGCCTGCTCTACATTGTACAATTAATGCAACTTGACACCACTTGCCATGGCCCAGTGCTGTGGAATCCTGGGATGTGTTGTTTGGTGAGACACCTATATTCTTTGGCAGGGAAGACCAAAGACCTTGTAAAACTACAACTTCCAAATTCCTTAGCATTAAACTATGGCTGCACCTACACTGCCTTATATTATTATTATTATTATTATTATTATTATTATCATTATTATTATTTGGGGTATTTGTATCCCACCCTTCTCAACCCCCTAGGGGGGACTCAAGGTGGCTTCTAGCCAGCACATATTCGATGCCTACATGTAAAATACAATAAAATATACATCAAATTCAATAATTATAAATAGTTAAAACTTTAAATTAATACAATGAAGTCTATTAAAAAGGGAGCCAGTCTAGTGGCAGTCATCCTGTTGAGTTCTGTAATTGCAGTCTCTATTAAGCTTGTCCATAAACAATTTCCATAGCAATTGTCATCATTATCATCGTCAAGTCTGCAAGATTACCCAAAGGCTTGGAGAGAAGGGATGAAGATGACTTAATTTCCCTGGTGAGCAAATTCCACAGGCAGGGGGCGACCACTGAGAAGGCCCTGTCCCTCATCCCCACCAACCGTATTTGCAACAGGGGCAGGTCTGAGAGCAGGGCCTCTCCAGAAGATCTTAAACTCCTGGGTGGGACGTAGAAGGAGATACGTTCAGACAGTTACGCCTGGCTGGAACCGTATATTCCAGGATCTGATCTAGAATATCTGGAGTATCTGTTTTGAACTGGATTATATGAGTCTACACTGCCAGATAATCAGGGATAAGCAGATAATCTGGGATTTTTAAATGTTAGGAATAACTTGAGAAACTGCAAGTCGCTTCTGGTGTGAGAGTATTGGCTGTCTGCAAGGATGTTACCCAAGGGATTCCTGGATGTTTTCATGTTTCACCATCCTTGTGGGATGCTTCTTTCATGTCCCCGCATGGATCTGAGATTAGATCCAGGGATCAGATCCTGGCATATAGGGCAGTGTAGATCCAGCCTGAGATTAAAGTCTAAGGAATTTGTTTAAGAAGCTGAGTTTACTCAGTTGTTGTTCAGTTATTTATTATCTGCACGATAGAACTCGGAATGCCTGTTTATTATAAAAAGTCCCTGTCTTGGGTCTTTTCTTCTCATGCAGATCGCCCGCGTGAAAGTAGCTACCTGTGATCAATATACTATATGTACCGATTGTTTGGCTGCAGCTGATGCTTACTGTGGATGGTGCACCTTGGAGACCAGGTGAAATATTTTTTATAGTCTACAAGCCTCTTAATAAAGTCTACTTTGGGCTGAAAAGTCACTGTCAGTAATAAGAGAAATTACTGATCTCATCATTTTTACTACTCTGTGCCTTATTCTTGCAACAATATTAGCGTTGTTTACACAGCCTTCAACAATCATTTCTAATTTTCACTGCTTATTTTGAAGCAGTAATTATCATGGTAAAAACCTAAGCGCACAAAAGCATTCAAGAAACATTATGTAAACAATTAACACTTTTTTTCATAAGGTTATCTTCTTCATACACATAATTGTTTGTGAAAAAGGAATTCATAAACAATTAAAAGTCCATTATAATAAAATAAGCTTTCATTTGACAAGAATAAAAAACTTAAGTCTCTCATTAAAATCACAATTGGCATTATTTTCTACCATAAACTAGATCTTTTAGAAAAGATTTGTCAAGGTCCTGTTGAAGAAGATGCCTTTAAATTAAACTAATCCAAGAAATATTTATGTGCTAACAACGAGTACCTGACAATTGGGATGAGATGAAAACTTTTCACTAAGTATTTAAAAGGAACATAAAATTGAGGATTAAGAGGAATTTATTTATCCAGTGTAATCGTAGGATTTCTTCCTTGGGAAACTGATAAGCATATTCTGAGTGTCTTGACTGAATCATGTTGGAATCTGCTTATTCTGACTATCTGAGATTTCACTGTGTGCAATCTGTAAGTAAATGTGTATATTTGTAGACTATAAGGGTTGAAAATGTGAAGCTAACATATTTGAAAGACAGATAATCAAGACAAACTCACAATCCACAAAACAGTGGTTATTCTATTTATTTATGTATTTAATTATTATGTCAGAAGCAAATTGAGGGCACAGTTTTAATGTATTTAAAAACACAAAGTTAAAAACTTGCCATTATACTAAATGTCCTTTGACCAGAAGCTGGCCACTTGGAGCACCTCTGGTGTCGCTGTAAGAAGGTCCTCCATTGTGCATGTGGCAGGGCTCAGGCTGCATTGTAGTAAGTGGTCTGTGGTTTGCTCTTCTCCATACTCACATGTCGTGGACTCACTTTATAGCCGCATTTCTTAAGGTTAGCTCTGCATCTCGTGGTGCCAGAGCACAGTCTGTTCAACACCTTCCAAGTAGCTCAGTCTTCTGTGTGTCCATGGGGGAGTCTCTCATCCAGTATTAGCCACTGATTTTGGTTCCGGGTTTTAACTTGCCCCTTTTGCTGAGGTGTTTCTGCAAGTATCTCTGTAGATCTTAGGAAGCTGTTTCTTGATTTAAGGCATTGACATGCTGGCTGCTATCCAAACAGAGGATGAGCTGGAGATGTTACTGCCTTGGTCCTTTCATTATTGGCTGCTACTTCCCGATGGCTGGCTGGTGGTGCAGTATAATTTCTCCAGTGGTGTGGGGCGTAGACTACCTGTGATAATGTGGCATGTCTCATTGAGAGCCACATCCACTGTGTAACATGGTGAGATGTGCTCCACTCTTGGTATGCATATTCAGCAGTAGAGTAGCAAAATGCAGTGGTGCAAAATGTGTTTATGCATGCATGGCTACATTGCATGCATGTATTTTCTACTGCACTATATGTACATTACATGCATGCAATCTACAATCCAAACGGCCAATTGAAACATTCACACCTAGCTCCAACAGATAAGAGTTCTTTCTCCCACCCTGAACTTTTCACAGCTATATAAACCCAATTTTCCTAGTTTCCAACAGACTTCACAACCTCTGAGGATGCCTGCCATAGATGCAGGTGAAACATCAGGAGAGAATGCTTCTAGAACATGGCCATACAGCCCCAAAAACCTACAACAACCCAGTGATTCCAGCCATGAAAGCCTTCAACAATACAATCTACATATATGTTTACATGTGGACATATATGGTATTTTGTATGTATACTGCACTGCACACATGTATGCCTGCATTGCTATCCCATCTAGACCATTTTCACTGACAACAGACAGAATACAAGCCAGAGATGTTAACATCATTCGGGTTTTTTTTACTCCTATGTTATTTTTAACATCCTTGCCTCATCAGGAAACCAGCAAAGCTTTGAATACTTGCATGATATATATTGTGCATTTTAGTTGGCCAAATAAAAGTATCTCCGATCTGTGTCAAAATGAAACTTAAACTAACAATGCCTGATTGTATCATGGCATTCCTGTATTTAATTTCTCAGTTCACATGATACATGAAAATGTCAGAACTCATCAGTAGCTGTTCATGTAATCTCATGCCATCACCAGCATTTGTGATAAAAGGAACTAATTCCATCTTTTTGGTTTTTTTGGGGGGGGCGGGGAAAGGTTGTTTTGCTGTCTTGTGCTCTTTTTGTTTCCCTACTACCTTGGTGACATTCTACCTACTCCCATTCCCCCACCACATTTAAGACCACGTTTTCTGGATGTGATGTGTGTGTACATGTACAGTCCTCCTCACTGTTCAAACCATCAGGCAAAAGTACAGTGGCAGCTGCTCCAGGGTCTCCCCACTGTAATCCCTTCACTCACTTTTCCAGACTCCACTCTTTCCCCCACATGGCCACCATTTCCCCTTTCAATTTCCCCCTTTCCATTGCTTTCCATTGTAGGACAGGAAATGGATTCGAATGGGGTGGGAGGAAGTGCTTTAAAATGCAAGGGGGTTATTGAAGAGCAAAATAAAGGAGACAAAACTCCATCTGCAGAACCTGGAGGTAAAGAGGTTACAAAGCCATCAGTCTGGACTAGTTCCAAATCTAGTTCTGAGCTGCGAGACTCATTGGGTTCTATGTGGTTTAATTCCTTTGAGGTAGCAGGTGGAGGCATATTTACTAGGCCTGGGTAACAACGGAAAAATTTGTTTCTAAAATCGATTTGTAATTGGGGGTTTTTTTGTGTTTCGATATTTAAAATAATTACAAAATTTTCCCTTAAAAAAGTTCGGTATTTACGAAATTTCGTAAATATTTACGAATCGATTCGTTAAGATGGCGCCCGCGTTGGCGCATGCGCAAAACATTTACGAAATTTCGTTATTGTGTGCATCGTTAATAATGAATCGATTCGTTAAGATGGCGCACCGCGTTAGCGCATGCGCAAAGCATTTACGAAATTTCGCTATTCGTGCTAATTGCACTGTATTATATTATATATAGCACTTTGTGTTGGCAAAAGGAGCGCACTGGTTGGAACTACACAAATAATGAGCGAGCACTGTATTATAGCACTTTGTGTTGGCAAAAGGAGCGCACTGGTTGGAACTACACAAATAATGAGCGAGCACTGTATTATAGCACTTTCTGTTGGCAAAAGGAGCGCACTGGTTGGAACTACACAAATGACAAACGCACACACAGGCACACAAGATTCTTTTCTTTTTTTAGAATATTTTTTGATTTTTTTTAAGAATAAAAGAAAGGTATTTTTCAAAAATATTTAAAAATGGAAACTTAACAAAATGCTCTCCCCGCTGTGGAGCCAACAGCCACAAGACAGGGGGAAACACACACACACAGGCTCACAAGATTCTTTCCTTTTTTTAGAATATTTTTTGATTTTTTTAAGAATAAAAGAAAGGTATTTTTCAAAAATATTTAAAAATGGAAAATTAACAAATTAACAAAAACCGCCCTCGCTCTCCCAACAACAGAATTAAGGAATTAAGGAATCAATGCAAGGAAATCCAGCTTAGCCAGCCAACCAAGCCAATGCAAGCCAATGCAAGCCAATGCAAGCCAATGCAAGCCGCCCTCCCGGACCTCCCTTCTCCCTCGCCTCCGCAACAATGAGCAAAGCGGCCACGCGGAGCCACTTTTAAAGGGCTTCCCGGCCAATCAAAATCAGCCACGGTGCACTGCTTGGGTGCTTGGGAGCGCCGGATTGGCTCCCAGGCACCAGCATCCTCCATCCCATTTCCAAAACGGGCGGAAGCTCGCAAAAAGGATGGAGGATGCCGTTTCGTTATTGAAAAACCCTTCCGGGTTTGAAAAAATGTTTTGTATTCATTTCGTAATTGCTAAAAATAACGAATATTTAACGAATTACAAAATTAACGAACGAAACCGCCCAGGCCTAATATTTACATAGGCTGGATCTAGACTGCCCTATATCCCAAGATCATTATTGGGATTATTGTCTTATCCCAGATTATCTGGCAGTGTAGACACATATAATCCAGTTCAAAGCAGATAATCTGGGATAACATCCTGGAATATAGGGCAGTGTAGATCCATCCATAGAAATCTCTCCCTCCCTCTTTCTTACACACATATCCTCTATGGGTATTATATTTGTTGTGTGCATGTGTGAGAGAGACAGGATGGAATTGTTTACTTCTCAGTGAGGAGAGTGGTTTTTGTCCTCAAGTGACGCCTGTTTCTCTGCCTGAAAGGTGAGGTTGGGATACAATCATTCCAGCAACATCTTATCCTCTTGAGAAAGGCAGAGGTACCTGCCATGTTTGACACATTGGAAAAATTGAGTTTTTGCATTGCTTACTTTTGTGTCTACTGGACTGGTGAGGTTCCTTCTGCAGAGAAGAATTCATGTGGATCCTTATTCTATACTCCTGCTCTTTCTTTTTTTAAAATTACTTGGTGGAAAAGAGAGATCGAGAAAGACATTTTGTTGAAGTGCTTTTGAACCTGGCAGGGTTGCTGAAAATCCCTCACAGATATACATGCCAGACAGATAGGTATGAAAACAAGAATCTAAGGGCCCTTCCACATAGCCATATAACCCAGAATATCAAGGCAAAAAACCCACAATATCTGCTTTGAACTCAGTTATCCGAGTCCACACTGCCATATATTTTAGTTCAAAGAAGAAAATGTGGGATTTTATTCAGCTGTGTGGAAAGGGTCTAATATTATTAATTAATTATTATTTATTAATAATTAATTAATTAATTAACATTACTACTAATATTAACCCATACATGATATCAGTGGGGGAACACTTAGTTGGGAATGCCGGCTAACACCACAGTCCTTTGATTAAACCTCAGTTTTAGAAACCACTACAACCTCTCTGATTCCTACATGAACTAAAATATAGATCTTTCTTGATTTTAGTGGAACTTCAACTGGATATGTAGAACTGCTACTTCTGTGTCTATAAATAGGAATAACAGTACTTTTATGTCCTGTGTATCACCTTGCAATGGAAAATAAGCTTCATAGAATCATAGAATAGAATCGAGTTGGAAGAGACCACCTGGGCCAGGCCCGTAGCCAGGATTTCGTTTTTTGGGGGGGGGGGCTGATTTTTTTTCAGGGGGGGTCGGGGGGGGGGGGGGGGGCTGAGTGTGAGTGAAAGAGGGTCTAGCCTAGCAAACCTTTTGTATCATTACCCCAATACCCCTATATATGGGATATATTGAGTATGGTGATCAGATCATGATATGAATAAACATAACAGTTTAAATAATGCACCAGTAAAGCCTTTTTGCAAACCACCATGAGAATTTCTGGGGGGGGGGGGGCTGAAGCCCCCCAGCGCGCCCCCCCCCCCCCCATGGCTACATGCCTGACTGGGCCATCTAGTCCAACCCCCTTTCATGCAGGAACATATAACCAAAGCACTCTCAACAGATGGCCATCCAGCCTCTCTTAAAAACCTCAAGAGAAGGAGACTCCACCTCATTCCAAGGCAGTGAGCTCCATATTGAACAGGTCTTACAGTTCTTCCTAATGTTCAGGTGGGATCTCTTTTTGTGCTTTGTGACCAAAAAAAATCTCTTATATGACTGACTTGAATATTCTTCTTTAGTATCAACATACAAGGTGCTCCTTTCCAACCTATTCCATACTAAGCACACCTGCCATGCCTTATATTCCCCCGTGCAATATTGCTACATGGACTTTCAGTTGCCTGTTGGATCAAACCCATCTATTTTCACTGAGCCTTGGACTTCCATTATCCAGGAGCATCCTAACACTTCGGAAGATCTAGTCCACATTCTTTATTTCTATAAGTCCACTTACATCAAGGCATGAAAGAGTGTGCAGGGGACATTAAGAAGACAAGCTATTCATGTATAATATACATTGCTGGAATTGTTGCAGACACTATAAGGCAGACATCCTCAAACTGCAGCCCTCCAGCTGTTTGGGCCTTCAACTCCCAGAATTCTTGACAATTTAACAAGCTCATTAGGGCTTCTAGGAGTTGGAGACCAAACAGCTGGAGGCCCACTGTTTGAAGATGGCTGCTATAAGGGAAAGGTAAATGTTTCCCCTTTACATTAAGTCTAGTTGTATCCAACTCTGTGGGGTGCTGCTTATCTCCATTTCTAAGATGAAGAGCCGAAACTGTCCGTAGACGCCTCCAAGGTCATGTGGTCGGCATGACTGCATGGAGCACTGTTACCTTCCTGCAGAATATTGATTTATTCACATTTGCATGTTTTAACCCAGTATGCCACTAGGGGCAGACACTATACCTTCCTCTTATTATTATTTAATTTCACAATGGCTTATGTGATTATGGAAGTATTGGGTATATTGATGGAGTTCTAGAAGTGCTTATAGAAAAAGAAATAAGTGATCTCACAAACAGCTAATTGAAGAACATGATTTACAAGTTAATAACCTATACACACCCTTTGTCAAGTGGGATTTTAAACCAATCAATCCATATTTTAGGCTAGGTTTTATACTTTTCACATAGAAATTTTAAGCTAGTAAATAGCCATCAATTTGCAGTTCCCTGGGAATGATTTGGGGATTATCGCAACTCCTTTTGGCTCAAGGGTAAAAGAGTCCTTCCTCCTTTAAACCTTTTGAGTACACTACAGCAGCATACAGAGAAAACAAAGTATTTATAGGAAACAGGCCAGAACATAGTAAAGATAACCAGAGCAGAACAATCAATTTACTTTGCTGGAACAATATATTTATTTTAAGAGAAAAATCAGATAAACAGAAATAGACCATTTGAAACTAAAGAGGAAAATTGCATAGCTAGCTGACAGTGCCTCCTCAGAGCAGAGTTCAAAAGCTTAATTTCTAGTTTACATGGTTTTATCAATCATTTTGACCACATCGGATTTGGAAAATGAGTTTGTAGAAAAACACAGAGAAAGCATCATGGATTTAGCAATATTTTTACTTGTGTGCAATTTGGTGTTAATGCTAACATGCCAATATGGAGATCATGTATGTTATTTAAAATGAGCATTAGTGAAGTCACAAAGATAAGGATGGTTGCAGTTAAAATGTTATTTTTAAAACTTGATTCCATAACTGTTTTTTTAAATGATTTTAGATGTTCATTGCAACATGAGTGTGCTCATTCTGATGAACCCTATTACTGGATAAGTACCAGTGGAGGAGTACAGCAATGTCCTTCAATGACCATTATACCTTCAGAAATAAACATTGAGAAGGAAAACACGGTATGTGAAAACAAGATTATTCTTGAATGAAACTCATAATCATTGTAAGTTATTGATATTTTGCTCTGTTGCCATGAACCAAGACAAAGTAGCCTTTATGTAATGGTATTTTGTTTTTTTATATTTGGGGGATTTTTATTTAGTGAATCAATACATTCACTCAGAACAAATAACTAAAGAACCAAGGAGATATCGATAGTATCAATTGGTAAAAGTCATGCTGTCTAAAGCTGTATCCACTATCCACATGACAGAATTAGAGCAGTTTGACTGCAATGGCTCAGTGCTAAGGAATTTTAGGATTGGTCATTTTGTGAGATATCTAACCTTCACTATCAGAGAGCTGTGGTGCTATACAACAAACTACAAATACCAGGATTCAATGGGATTGAACCACGGCAGTTAAACCGATGTCAAACTGCTATAATTCTGCATGTGGATGATCTATAGTCCCTATCCTTGGAGCCCCAATTATTATATATCGAGATATAACTGCCCTGATATTGGAAGATGTTGTTATGGTGCTTCTGGTCCAGAACCCGACCTTTGAAGCCTCACAGTTCTCCTTTACTGAGACACTGGAGAGTAGGGTGATGAGTTGTGATATACCTAGATAACTATTAGTCACTGCAGAGTCCTATTAGGATTCTATCACCACTGTCTGTCTCTGCGGGCCCCATCTAAACTGCCATATAAAATCCAGATTATCTGCTTTGAACTAGATTATATGACAGTGTAGACTCATATAATCCAGTTCAAAACAGATAATGTGGATTATCTGGATTATATGGCAGTGTATAAGGGGGCTGGGAGAGGGAGACATCATTACTCACATCATTACCCACTCTCCCATGCCTTGGTAATGTCTTTGTTGTGGGGCTACAAAATTTAAAGTATATTTGGGAAGTGCTTTTGCTCATTGCAATTAAGCAATGGCCAGAAGCATAAATCTGAATAATTACAATGTCACAATGTCACAAATCAAGTTTAGGACATTGTAATTAATGAGAAAGATGCAGTTCCTTAAAATTTAAGGGGAATTATGTCAAATCTAAATGACTTTCCTGTTAATAAAATGTAGAAGATTTGTGTTCAACTTCCATCATTAAAATTCAGCCTGGTGGTAGAGGATTATCTTAGCATAAGAGCCAGTAGAGAGAGAGAGAGAGAGAGAGAGAGAACAGTTTTTTTAGAAATCTGCAGTCCTTAGGTTATTTATTAAGTCAACAAATTTATTAATATTATAATAAGTCAACTGAAATACCTAGAGTTATGTTTGCTTTCTAGCATTAGAGAACTACTGGTTCCTGTCTCTTCAATGAGAACTGTATGAAGGAAATCTTAGTCAGTGAACATAACCAATTTTTTTTCACTTTTGAAATCCTGAAGTTATTTTCCTAGCTTTGCACCTATAAAATAGAAGGTTATTAACTTTTGTTGGGCCAGTTGTCAGTGGTGAATGAATTCTGTGATTAGATTGTATCCCAGTGGGAACTTCATCATTTTTAATGTTGCAATAGAACAGTGGTTCCCAACCTTTTTTTGACTACAGACCACTTTGCCCAGGGACTCCTCTTCAACATTAGTACCAAAAGGGTTACAAATCAGGTTTTTGGTCAACTTTAGATTTGGTTTGGTTATTTGGGGTGCTGATTCAGAAAATTGCACATCAGTTCTAGTTTCTGATACAGAACATATGCCATCCAGTAGTTACCATCTGCTCGCCCACAGAAAATCATATTTAATAAGCCTCAGCAGTATAAGAGTTTTGCGAAACCTATTGCTCTTGTTCCAATGGTGTAGTAACGGTGAGGCCATGGACCATGTTTTAGTTCTTGTGGACAACTGGTGCTCCACGGACCAAAAGTGGGAACCACTGCAATAGACAAATCGTGATTGGAATGCTGCTCTGTCAAGTTTGCATTCCAGTCAAGTTTTGCAAGTTTTATCCAATAAGGCTAGAGTTTGTCTCTTGGAGGTGGTATCTCCTGTAAATGAAGTCTGTTCTTTAGGGTTTTCTTTATTGATTCTAGAGCAACACCGTTAGAATTATTTCCTATAGTTGTGTTTTGTGCAAAACCAGCCCTGTCTTTTATTTAAATGCATTTTTAGAAGTAAGATGATAGCATTTAATTTTCTAATTTTTCTACTGTTTCACATAAATAAAAAGTTAAATAAAGAGACCCCAAGATTGTAACTAGATTGGATGGTATTTTATAACTAGTTAGGCCAGACAGGCCTGTTCCCATGTATCAATCTCAGTTATGATGGTTTGAAAAATGTAGCTCTGTTGGTCTTAAAAGTTGAGTGCTCAGAGTATAATTCTAGAAGCTCTATAGAGAACTTGTTCTAGCCTATGATTTGTATATGCATGTAAAATATTAAAGGAAAAATAAAAAAATACTAACCAATATAGTTGACCAGTTTAAATAACTATCCATTTTTTTACTAGAACAATAATCTTTTTTCTCCAAACTTAGGCCATGATTATTCAAATGAATGGGAGTATTCCAAGTCTGAGCGGAATGAAGATGTCTTGTGACTATGGAAATAATATCGAAACTGTAGCTAAAGTTCTTTCACAATCTTTGAACCAATATGTTTACTGCAATTTTCTTCCCAGAGAAAAATATCCAGCCTTCCCAGCCAATCAAGGTATGTAATAAATAACTACATAGCATGTTAAAAACAAAACAAAAACCCCTTTGGGGTGCATTATTTCCCTTGGAGATGAATTTAATTTTGTTCTCAGTTGTTTCTGTTTATATGTTCAGTAAAATACATTTCTACAGTCCTCAAATATTTTGTTAAATCAGTGCAAGAAATTTTTGAGAACTTCATTGCTTTTTAAATTATTTAGAACTTTGTTTTTATTTGTGAATGTGCCATGTACTTTTTAGGAATAACTGTGAATTCTGCCCTAAAACCTCAAAATTCTGTTGTGAAGAAAGAGACATTTTGGTAGGACAAACCACAGGGATTCTTAGCTATAGTCAATTGTACTGAAGGATCTAGAGAAGCTGACCAGAGAATTATACTGAAGGACTTACAAATGGGATAACACTTCCCTAGGCATCAACCAGTATCCTCCAGTATCTACGGTCAGCCTCCAGCAGAGTCACACTGGGAACATAGAGATTCCTAAAGAGAACATTTAAATCAAATTTGTAAATTTCCAACCTGCAGAATTATTTTTTGTTCATCTAACTGTCTTGTTTATGGAAACAAAATTTTAAGTGATTGATTTAACTAAGATGAACTCTTTGAGTTTTGAAAAAGAAACCTCATCCTTTGGGAAAACAGAGGGTGTGAAATTCTGAGCATTTATCTTGTCAGGAAATCAAAGAAAAATATGAAAATAACACTGTTGTTACCTGATATCTTTTGGCTTTTTTTCAGACCATGTGATTGTTCAAACATCTGTAAAGGTTAATGGCAAAAATATTGTGTGGGCCAATTTCACCATCTACGACTGCAAGAGAACTGGAAACATTTATGCCAAAACAGCGTGAGTGATCCCATAGTCTGTGAATTACAATGGAGAGGGAATGGCAGGTTGCTAACAAACAGTGGGTTGGCTGCCTCTAACACACATCAGACTCCAGGCTAGCAAGTCCTTCACTTCCTTCCTTTCTTTTTTTAAAATAGAGGAGAGATTGTAAATAGAGTAATCTTTTTTAATAAGTGTGCATTCATTGCCCAGGAGTAATTATTCTACAGGGTTAATTAAGCAAGAACCACTTTGTTATCAACCAGATATTTTGGGTCCTGGGCAGGATTTGGCAGGGAAGGAGGTACAGCTTGCCAAGGTTTGCAGAGAAGGGGTCTTAGAGCATTTCAGACCATCTGGCCACTTTGATGGGTTTTGGCATTTTTTCCCTTTTACACTTCTTAAACATGAATAATATTTTTTAATCTGAAAGCTTTGAATTTAACCCTAAGAACTCAATTATCAAGAGAGAAACATTATATATTTAATCATTGATCATTCTTCTATACTATAAAGCAGAAGGCAGTTTCTGCTGGTTGGGTAAACCTGAATGTTACATGGCTTGTACAGATTTCTGGGAAAGATTGAATATTAAAATATTACATCTATAATTATTTTCCCATTTGCTACTGCCAGTATCCCTAAAAATCTCTATGGGATAGTTTGCAAGATTCAGTGATTATATCTTTAGTCTAATAGTCACTTTTGTAGTATGATTTTCCCTCTGTAACCACAGAATCTGTATCTATGGATTCAGCCATCAGTAACTTGAATGAGTGTGTGTATGTATGTATATACAGCGTGAGTGTGTGTGTCTGTGTATGTGTGTGTACACACACACACACACACACACAATCTTTTATATAACCATGGCTAGAAAATATTCAGAAAAAAATCCAGAAAGAAAGCCTTGTTTTCACAGTGTACTGTGCTGTTCTGCCTTTTCACAGATCCTCCTCCTCTCTCTGGCACTAGTTTGAATTATTTTCTATTTTATATAAGAAATACCACTGTACTGTGCCAGGAAAGGGCCTGAGGCTGTTAAGAATTGTTGGAGTTGAAGTCCAAAACACCTGGAGGTCTGAAGTTTGCACATGCTTGTTCTAGAAGAACACTGGATTTTTTCTAGTGCACTGTCCCCCATCTCCCAAAATTGCATGTCCTCACACTAACACTTTTTCAATTGGCTCATCAACAGCCTTTTTTTCCCACTCTTGTTTCCTACAGGCCAGGTAAGTATAATTTCATTTCCACATATACAGTGGTTCCTTAGTATCCACTGAGGTTTGGTTCCAGAACTCCCTACCAAAATAATCTATTCCAAAGACCAATTTTATCCAATGACACAGTACAGTGGTATTTCTTATATAAAATAGAAAATAATTCAAACTAGTGCCAGAGAGAGGAGGAGGATCTGTGAAAAGGCAGAACAGCACAGTACTTGGTACACTGTGAAAACAAGGCTTTCTTTCTGGATTTTTTTCTGAATATTTTCTAGCCATGGTTATATAAAAGATTGTGTGTGTGTGTGTGTATTCATATCTCATCTAGGTTTTTTGCAATTGAAAAATGCCATTTTAAATGCCCACACTTTGATTGTCAGCCAATCAACCTGATTTTTTTAAAATTAAAGTTTTGTTGTTTATGCCAATTTTCCCATGATGATTGGCAGCATATCTTTAATGTCAAGTAGACATTGTGTTGCCAATTTATATTTCTGGATGTGAAAGCTGGACAGTGAAGAAAACTGATAGTAAAAATTATCAATTTATTCGAAATGCGGTGCTGGAGGAGAGATCTGTAGATACTATGAGCGGCCTGAAAGAGAAATAAATGGGTCCTAGAGCACAAACAATTCGTGGAAGTCAAGATGATTAAATGGAAACTATCATACTTTGGTCATCATTGAGAAGTCATGACTCACTAGAATAGACCACAATGTTTTGTTAGGTAGAACGCAGTAGGAAGAGCGGAAGACTATATTACAGATGGATAGACTCAACCAAGAAAATCACAGTTGTGAGTTTGTGAAGCTTGAGGAGAACTGTTGATGACAGGGTGACTTGGAAGTCTCTCATCCATAAACCACGAGTTAGCATCAAAGAAATTGATCGTCTCTGGAACAAAGAGATTTGTGTTTAGAACATAGCTAATAGTTTGTTTCCTATAGATAGAGAAAAGGAAATGTATAGGTATCAAAGACATTTGTTATTCAAGATTTGGTGGCCATTCTTCTTACTGGGTGTCTTCAGCCTTTGGGTTCTAGACCAAGGATAGACAACTGCAGAGCATCCAGAGAACCTCCACCCATTCCCTATTCCAGCCCCTAGACCAGTGGTTCTCAACCTATGGGTCCCCAGGTGTTTTGGCTTACAACTCCCAGAAATCCAGGCAGTTTACCAGCTGTTAGGATTTCTGGGAGTTGAAGGCTAACAGGTTTAGAACCACTGTCTTAGACCTTCATAGGCCACCCAGCTGGACACATTTGTAATAAAAACAAACTTCAACCCCTTTCTACAAGTCTCTTATCCAGAGGTATTTAGATGCATTAGAGGCCATCCTTGCACTAAAGTAACAATAAAGTACATTCTGCATCTTTTTTTCAAATTACATTACATCGTATATTACATCGTTGCTCTGTTTTAATAGGCTCAGAATGTTAGCTCTTTTCTGTAGTGCTCTGAGTAGATCTGTTGCATGTTCACATACTATTCAATATCTTGAATGCTAACACCCTATTAACAGTAAATAACCATCACAGTTCATGAGCTACTTAAAATTAGTTGTAGTTATCAAGTAGCAAATATCATGTCATGAACTGTAAAAAAAAAAGGCAGATAGCTGATTAGCAGATAGGATATTATTGATATATGTTTTGGACTTAGCCAAAGATTTATCTTTTAATAAAATGGTTGAAGGAATGGGTAGTACTTGTATTAGGCGTCCTGTGGAAACTAGGCTTATTTTCTACCCTTTAATGTCAAAGTTACCTGTTTAAACTTCCAAAGCAATGTATTCTGCAGCAGTAATTCTGAAAAAGAGAGCAATAGTTGCTCAGAAAGAAATGTGATACAAGTTGGAAAGTAAATCTTTGTTTATCTCATTCTTGCACAGGAGAAGAAAAGAATTCAAAAGTCTCACCCTCTGCTGGGTGGGATTGAGATGTTTTGCACATTTGTAATGTTTGTTCAGATTTTGAGACATGGAGAAATTTTACTTGTGTGTCATTTTGCAAAAAATGTTGTTTTCCCTAAAGAATGTATTTTGCACAAAATATAATACAAAGTTTTTTGTTTTACAAGCAGTATCCTTTTTTGTTTTTGATTAAATTTTGAATATTTTTTGCCTTTCTAGACATGACTGGGATAGCTGTTGTGTTGTAATTTCAACAGAGTGAGAGAAGAACAACTTTTTAGATATTTAATAAAATACTACTGGAAAATTTATTAAGTTAAAATAATTAATTTTTTGTTACTTAATGAAGGATGATCAGAATTGTGACACATTTATAGCTTTAGTGCATGCATGGGGTCAACTTGAGCCCTTCAGGTTTTTTGGACATCAACTCCCACCATTCATAACAGCCTTGGGCATCTTCCTTTTCCCCCTCAGCTGCTTAAGCGACTGAGGGGGAAAAGGAAGGGGCCTGAGCCTGTGAGGAATGGTGGGAGTTGGTCCAAAACACCCGGAGGGCCCAAGTTGGCCCATGCCTGTTTTAGAGAATCGTCTGCAAACTATGCTGTTGTTAATAAATAAATATACATGGTGTTCATTCATTTCAGGTGCATTAGCTGTTTCTCAGCTAAATGGAAGTGTCACTGGTGTACTAGGAAATATACCTGTGTCTCCAATGCAACTGAATGTGAGGATTCGGTACAAATGACTGTGAGTATGCAGCACTTCCTAATTCGTTCTGTCCTTTCATTTGAACAATAAATAGTTTATTTTCCTTTCCTTTGGGGAAAATAATACGGGCCAACAGAAATTCTGGAAATAACTATGGTTGGGAAAGTGTGACCTAAAAAAGTTCTGCATGAAGATGAGGGGAAGTTTTGATTTCCATATGTTACTTAAATTGCAATTGCATACACAACACTATTTCATATAGGTGTTCAACTCTGTTGATGTTTTCTGCAGAATATTTTATCTCGTGGCATTTTATTGTTATTCAGAATTGGAGCAGTGCCTTATTTCCATATGCTTTGCAATGTCTGGTCTTAAGCAATAAAACAACTCTAGTAATATCTTAATTTTTTTCAAAGATTTCACTGTTCCATTGTGTGACATGTGTAAAATGGCAGCTAGCAAGCTGACAATAATAAAATATTCAATTTGAAGCTGAAAATCACCTTTATCTAAAATTCATCTCCCAGTAATAGCCAAACTTGGCATATTTTTACTTTTTTGCACTTAAATTGAAGTTAATTTAGCTAAATTGGCCTTTTAGCAACCAATTTACTTGGCACTTACATTTTAAACTGAATATTACTTTGTCGGTATAGTTGTGAAAATCAGGCGCTTTTCAAGCATATTCCGTCTCCTCTTGATTCTTAACCTTAGTGAAACCCTTGGTCTTTGGAGCATATTTTCTATTTTTATTTTACAATCCCACTTGTACTCTGTCTTTCATCGAATTTTTATTCTGCTTCAGCTAGTACAAACCATTTAAAAGTAATTAAACAAAACAGATATTATTTTTTACAGTATTGATTTATAAAATGTTTTGCTTTGTACAGTTTGCTGTATTCAATATTTATATGGATGACAAATTCCAGTTAATTTAAGTCATGGAGGAAATTCTTCTAATCTCCTCCTCGCATATGTACTAGGGAAGGGACATGCTACTCTTACTCATGTAATGCTAAACCACTGCTTATTGTTATGTCTGAACTGCTCTTTTCCCCTCCCTGAATCTCAGTATGCATGTTAATACAAATGCACATTGTAAATATTTTCATCAGGGTGAATTTTCATAGGCCACAGTCTGCTGAGAAAATTGATGAGATGGAATTACTGACTGGCAAAGATGTGATGGCTCTTATTCTGCCCCTATCCATTTTTAGTTGCCTTTATGTGTTGCTTGTCAATGGTATGGTAGAGATTTCTTAGGCAATGAAAACTGAGAGGTAGATTTGCTCATTCATTCCTTGAAATATAGCCCACATCATGTGATATTTATTGGTAGTCTCCCATTCAAGTGCTGACTAGAGCCAAAACTCTTTCGCTTCCAAGAGCTGTGCCTATCGGACATTTAGTCTCTTTTCCTATAGGCATGCTATTTTTTAATGGCAATCTGAAACATCTCTTGATGAAAATACAGTAAAATTAAGTACTTCATTCCACATCAGAAGACAGTATCTATTGGTATATAATGTTATTGGTAATGGTTCCGTTCCAATGGCATTCTCAACCCACATTGTTGTCTGAGTTCTGCAAGCTGACTCAACCACATGAATTTCATTTATTTTGAAAGGGTTTGCTTCCCTCACTAAGGCTCTTGTTGTCATCAAGATCATGCTTCAGAGTGAAAGTCTTTAGACTTCTAGGATCATCAAAATGTACAGCACAAACTTTGTGACAATACAAATCACATTCTGTTCCTCCAAGGACTGTAAGAATGATTGCAGGGCCATTCAGATGAATAGCATTCCAGGCTAAGCCTCCATGCTCAGCTTATCCGCTCAGGTTCTGTATACAGTATAGTGCCTTTCTTGATAGGCTTCCCCTTTTTCTATAATTGTCTTTCTACCAGGCCCCAATGCCACACTTACTTTCACTCAACACTCGGGTTCTGTTCTGTCAAATACTATCTGTACATCATGTTACCAATATTTCCTTTCCAATGATTACGTGGAAGAGCAAAATTACTTTCTAAGAGATAATTATTCCTAATTTTGGAGAGTTTATGTTCATGTTTTCCTAATTTCACTGACTTTTTGTTGGGCCAGACTTGAAGTTCTCTATTCCTTTGGATTCCACATATGTAGGAAATCATAATGATAATGTCTAGTTTTTAAAATTGTCATGTTGTCGTCTGTTTAAATAAGAGCAACACTATTTCATATAGGTATTCAACTCTGTTGGTGTTTTCTGCAGAATATTTTATCTCGTGGCATTTTATTGTTATTCAGAATTGGAGCAGTGCCTTATTTCCATATGCTTTGCAATGTCTAAACTTAAGGAATAAAACAGCTCTAGTGATATCTTAATTTTTTTTCAAAGATTTCACTGTTCCATGTGTGACATGAGTAAAATGACAGCTAGCCATTACTCAAAGTAAACTTCAAACTCTTCATCCACGGCTTCTCCTATTATTCCAACTGGAATTGTGTACCTGTATTTTGAGCCCATTTGACCATTCCTCCCTCAACTTTGCCAGCAGCATTTTTCATTATTGTTTCTAACAGAAATTCAGTCTATAGGATCACCGCTAATGCATGTTCATCATACCATCTGCCTATTTAGAAGATTGCTTGGGTTATATAAAGGATGGAGGGTATGTTTCAACTTTTTCAGTTTGAAAGTTTTGAATCTAAGCAAGGAGTAATCCTCTTCCAGAGTTTCAGAGGCTTCATTGGACTTCTACACCAGGGGTCCTCAAACTATGGCCCGGGGGCCGGATGTGGCACTCCACGGTCATTTACCCGGCCCTCGCTCAGGGTCAACCTAAGTCTGACCTCAACCTAAGTCTGACTTGAAAGCACACAACAACAACAATCCTATCTCATTAGCCAAAAGTAGGCCCACACTTCCCATTGAAATACTAATAATTTTATATTTGTTGAAATAGTTTTTAAGTGTTTTTTGCACTACAAAAAGATATGTGCAGTGTGCATAGGAATTCAGTCATATTTTTTTTTCAAATTATAATCCGACCCTCCAACAGTTTGAGAGACTGTGACCTGGCCCTCTGTTTGAGGACCCCTGTTCTATACAATTCTGCTGAACCTGATTCTTTTCACTTTTATGGATCTGGGGACCAAATTATGTCACGACTTCTCCTGGGGCATTGAGTGGAAATGGGTCCTAAGGCCCAGGAAAATCTTGTACTTTTTAATGAAGGTTTAAAAAAAAAACAAAAAACAATGTCAGTTGGTTCCAGTCACATCCTAGAAACATGACAAAATACATTTTTCTCAACAAAAAAAAGAAGAAACTACTTTTCGGTGATGGCAAGTCCAAGGGACTATCTTTTCCCACTTTAATCTGCGGCAACATGCAATAGTGAAAATCTCTATACCGAACAATTTCATGTGATTCACTAGAAAGTTCCTACTGATTGTGAATGGCCTTACAATTTGTGGTTGTGATTATGTAGATAAATCCCTCTATCCTCCCAGAACTATTAAGTGTACCCTCTTCTGATTCAACATCCAATGCAGAAGAAGATGCATGCTTGATACAGAAACATGTTTGCTACCCCCCCCCCCACACACACACACACTTTTAACAGTGTGGGGGGTAGCAAACATATAATTTAAACTGTAAATTACACTGTAATTTATAAATAATGGAAGACGACAACCCAAATGCTGTAAAACTGCCAAAAACAAGATTGTGATATACAAACCCAAAGACAAAAACACTGAATGAACACCAATTGTATGCACAGGTAGAAACATGACAAATACACAAAGAATGCCAAAATATATTCAATGCAAGTGAAATTACATGCAACAGAATGCTAAACCAACAGGAACTGTACTATGCCAAAAAAACAGCTGTCGATGAAGTATGTTTGGAGCTGCAGGAAAGAGAACCATCTTGGGTAAAGTAAAACCATTTCCATTTTGCAAATTTGTAGTACAGATAACACAAGATAGCTTAGTAATTTCATTAAATGTAACTTGTGTGCCTGCATGATTCCTTGGAAAACTAAATACAGAGAAAAATTAAAATGCTTGTTCTTCGTTTTGGAAAAAAAATTCCTCCATGAAGCATACTTTGCATTACTTCTCCTGTTTTTCCATTTCATGCTAAACCTTTAGGAAAGGTGTAGCATTTTCAGTGGCCCCTTGACCACCACTTCACCTTTTTAGGCATCTAAAATCCTTGCACTGTCAGCAAAACAAACTTCCAAAATGGTTAAGCATTAAACTAAGCTGATGAGTCCAGAACATCCAGGAAGGATCATCATCAAAAGGGCTTGGCAAGGCTAATCTAGGAAGCCCTGCGCTCACTTTTATATACCCTTTAAAACTCCTGGAGTCAGTAGATACGCTTGCGGCGGTAAGGTGGACTCAGGATGGGGGGAGCAGCCAAAGCCCTGAAGATTTGCATTAATCTAAAATTCATATAATGGCTTTAGTTAACCAATGTTTCTTCCTGTGGAAAAAAGAGCAACGTTTCAAATGACGTTTGAGGGACATGAATGAAATTTTAATAGCCCAGCATATCAGAATTTGTGTGCACAAGAATGTAAAAATCCTGAAAATGAAAGTTAGTTCCTGTTCAGAAATGTGACATGAGAGTCATAGATTCATACACCTAACATGGGAGTTAACACTGATAGCACTGAAGGGCATCTGACTGTGATATTATGAAGAAATGATTCCCAACAGTGGCTGGGATTCTGAGCTTATTTCCAGAGACAGTGGCATCTCTTGAACTGATTTCTGTTCATGGGCCTTCCTGACAATAGAATAGGGAAGAGAGGTGTAATTCCTGATTCTCTCTCCCTCTGCAGACTCCAGAAATCTGCTCACATGGGTAAAGCCGTTCTTTGGAACAGTACAGAGAAGCAGCTGGCACAAGTTACTGTATATATTCGAGTATAAGCCTAGTTTTTCAGCCCTTTTTTTAGGCTGAAAATGCCTATACTCAGGTAAGGGTCCTGGTGGGAAAACATGTACTAAAAGAAGGGCTTCTTTCAGCCCCACGCCTTC